TTTTTTTTTTTAGAGAACTGAACGGTTTATTGTATGATTTATGGGATATGAATGGGTTCCATGTGTGGTTATCTAAGAGTTTATGTATGTATATGTGTGTGTGTATGAATCAAGCTAGGCTTGTCCGATAAACCCTCTGTAGATCTCATCCAAAACATCCCGTTTGCGTTTCCGATCCGCTTGCTCCGCTTCCTCAGCCTCGTCCGGCTCCCCCTCTGGTTCCCTCGACACCCAGGTACGGATCGTCCCGTCCCCATGCGCAGAGAACATCTCCACTCCCTCTCCCGAGGCGCCATTGCCACGCCAAACGAGGGAATTGATCCTCGCGGCACTGAGCGCACTAGACCGGCCCCGGAATTGCTGCTGCCCGCCCATGAGACCTGGGACCTTGAGACGCTTGATGAAAGTCCCTTCCCGCAGCTCGAACATAAAGATCTCCCCGCGGTCGTCGTTCTCGCTGAAATTAGGCCACAGCAGCGTCTCCTGCCCAGGACCCATGACGCCTTTGGGGAGGACCAGTGGTGCCCGTTCGGCGAGGTGGGAGGTCGCGGCGTTGCGGACCCGGGGACCGAAGTGGGCGAGGGTGTTTGCGCCCGTGGAGGCGTCCCACACGCGGATCCGCGCGTCTTGACCGGTCGTTACCAGGTGTGAGCCGTTGGAGGTCCACCGTACGCCGGTCACGGCGCCGTTGTGCGCCCGTGCGTGGGGGGAGAATGCGGGCCGGCTTTGGTAGTTGGGTGGTGCGCTGCGTGCTGGTAGTAAGCCCACGGCGTCGTCCATGTCCAGGGCGGCAATGGCGGAGTTGTGGCCCCCGCGACGGATATCGAATAGAATCACTCTGTGGTCGGCCGATGCGGATGCCAGGATATGGGGTCTGTGAGGGGCCCAGGAAACCGAGAGCACCGACGAGGAATGTCCGGGTAGTCCGTGGGTTGATAACCCCGAGCGGAGGTCGAGTAGTCGCACTGGGCTCTCGGACGTGCCGACGGCGATGAGGAGAGGTGAAGCGGGGTGTGAGGACATCGAGTGGGCATATGGTGTGCAGTCGAGTTTGAATGTATGGACTGGGGTGATGGCGCCGGGTTCCAGGGCTGAGAGTTTGAGAGTCCCATCACGCGAGGCTGTCAGTATGGTCGAAGGGACTGGGTCGAAAGGGTATATTGATACAGAGGTGATGGCGTGCGTATGGGCATCTTTATGCGACGATTTTGTGACCGAGGCGATGGATCTGTGGACATGGCCTAGTTCTGAGCCTCTGGATTCCAGGTCCCAGAAGTGAATCGAGGGGTCTGCGCCGCCGGAGACCATACTGGTTTATTCATTTAGTACGGTGGCGGACGGTAACAGCTGGGGGACATACAAGCGTCCGTCATATTGATCTATCGCCAGCGCATTCACCCCGGCCCTGTGGGCATAGAGCCCATCCTCGGAGTGCAAGTGTACATCTACAGCGGACACTGGCTGTTCAGGTTTCTGGAGACTGGAGAAACGGATACCGGGGGCCGGTTCGAGGTGCTGAACGAGACGGCTCGTTTGCGCGACATGGAATGTGTGTGGACTGATGGACCCAAGGGTCCTATTCAGAAGATAAGAATTCATTCATTAGGAGGGTGACCGCTACGATCGTTGTTTGTTCATCGTTGATCGTTGATCGGCTTTGATGTTATCGCCAGATGCGGGGCGGAGAAAGGTTACACCGAGAATTTGTTCTGGGGGTCAACCGAACCCTATACACCATACTGCGCTTCAAGTGTCCTAGATATCCGTGGGAATTGTAAAGGCCAGCGCGGTGCGACTGTTACTGCAATGCCGACGTGGAATATTTCGAAATTCTGCTGTACAGCCCACCGTATCCTAACGCAGACAAGACTACTCCCTACTCGTGCTGAAGCCACCTGGATGTTAGTTAGGGCTTCAAGGGTGGTATGATGTGATTTACGAATGCCAGGCTGTCATTGGTCGAATGTCACCCTCCGCAACGAACATTCACTCCGAACCCCGATGAATCTACTCCGTACGAGCCTGTGCGGAATGATACCCCGAATATCACCTGCAGGTCGGAATAGACTTATAAGAGCACGTCAGATCGACTAACGGTGTACCAGTTATCATTACGACCTGCGCAGGAGATTCTAGATCCTGAGGGGAAGCTGGCGAGGTCAGATTTTAGTCCTGTTGGCTTGTAACGTAGCCATATTTTATAAGGAGCTTGACTGTTCCTGGGCCTGTCATTAGTTAGGACAATCTGATGATTCTAATCAAGGTTAATTCGTCACTATACTACATGACTCCACTGGCTGTATTTGCTGAGACAAAGTTAACCCCATACCCTTGAGCGTTATTTAACTTGGACCACCGCATGGCGATAAGATACCCTGAGTTATATCGTGCTTCTCCAATTATATAATGGTCTCTCAAAAAGTCCAGGTCCGGTCCAAAAGCCACGAAGGTAAGAGGCCAATCCTGCTTGAATCTTACTGTAACTAAGCATGAGCAGACTTACTGCTAGAATACTCATGGTCTCTTCTGGACACCCCATCCACCGGAAATCCATGGCAGTCGGTGGATATAGTCTTCCGGCATGTATTCTCAGTAAATGCAAACGACGCTTCTAATCGCCTCGAGGACACCTATATCCTCGATTCTGGCCAGAACACTGCCCCTCAAAAATATGGACCGGAAGCTTTCGGTTCACATAAAGCATTCCAGTTCTTCCTGCGATGTTTGCGCGCCGCAGCCACGTCCAGGCCACGTGTAGCGAAGCTTATCGTGCCCTTGCAGAAAGGGCATATTGTCCGCTCAGATATTATTCCTCTGCGTCTTCGAGACTCCCAATATGTCGAGACGGCGGTGTCGTTTGCAGAGCCCTTCCAGAGCTACACAGGCTCCGCAATTACACTTCCCGATGCCAGCAACCTACCAGCACTTTTCTCCGCGGCCACGGCCGGGCTTCTTTTGCAACATAATGTAGAGTCTGATTCAGACCCCGGATTTGAGGCAATGTCTCTAGCTGTTGAATCAGACCTTGAGAACAGACTTTCATTTCCGTGGATACTGTCTGAACCCATGCGCCGGAGGATACTGATACTAGTTGATGCGAACAGCAGCCACCCCGAGGACGGAGTGGGCCTTTACCATGCAGCTAGAGTGCTCGGCATCGACATCGTCGTGCTGGACAACGCAGGGCACTGGCTCGAAGGGCCCGAGTATGCGCACTGGCGTGAAGCGTTCATCCCGACACGTCTCACTAATCCACCCGAAGAAGACGTGGTTGACCGGATTGTTGAATCCGTGAAGGCATACGGTAAGCCGGTGGATGGCATTGTTACATTCGCGGACTCGTTCTGGCCTTATATCGCCCAAGCTGCGCCGCAGGTGGGCCTTCAGACAGCTTCACAAGAAGCGCTAAGAATCGCCACGAATAAGTACCGCACAAGTGTATTCGCCGGCCACCAAGCTTATCGTGCGTCGAGTCTAGACGAGGCTCTTGATGTCGCGAAGAAAACAGATATCCCTTATCCACTTATAGTCAAACCGTGCGATGGCTGGAGCTCGGAGGGTGTATCGCGTGTTGATAATCTTGACGCGCTTACCATGGCTGTCCACGCTATCGATGTATCTCGCCATGGAACTGAATTCGTCATCGAGAAATACTGTGACGGCCCGGAAGTTGACGTCAACTTCGTCCTCCTGGACGGCGAAGTCCTCTTTTTTGAGGTCTGCGATGACCTCCCCAAGTCGGCAGATATCAATGGACCCAGCGTAGGCTCGCTGCATAACTTCCACGAACTGAACAGCGTCTACCCGTCCGCACTCCCTTCCCAGGAAATAGACCTCCTTCGAAGAAGCTTCCTGGACACACTACGCAAGCTCGGTCTCAAGGACGGCGTAATGCACCTCGAGGCCGGGTCGAGTATTCATCAGTCGAGTACACGAAACAGAGCAACGTCATCGACCTGTCCCCGCGTGCTCCGACCCAGCAACCACCAACACCCTGGCTTATCGAGATCAATCCCCGTCCTCTCGGCATGACGGGCTCCCAGATTATCGAGTCCACCTACGGCATTGACTACTGGGGTCTGGCTCTGCTCGTCGCCGTCGGTGACAAGGCCCGTGTCCGTGCTCTATCCCAGCCTTTTAAGCATGGACCCCAGTATACCTGTATCATGGCCTTCATTCCGGCTGACTACCCCGTATCTTGCCAAGGCATCTTTGACTCGGAGGATATTTGTGCAGACTTGATAGCCCGCAGACCAGATCTTGCTCGGCATATTAGTCGTTGTGCTTGCCTGGTCAAGCGGGGCCAGAGAATTGCGCATCCGAGTTCGGGGCGCCATACCTTTTTGGCGTATTTTAATATCTTTTCGAGAGTGGGGAGGAAGGAGGCACTGAATTTAGCGAGGGAGGTTAGAGAGGAAGTGAGGTATTCGTTTATTTGAGAGGGATATGCTTTGTATAGCTTGTGATGCTGGAGTGGCTCTAGAGTGACATGGTACAGCTGTAGATGAAGACTTATCAACTAGGGTTAATGCGCTTATAGAAGCTATTTATGGAACTAAGGAGGGGTATGAGAGTTTCTTATTCTAAAACATATTCAAATAGTTGATCTCTGAAATGTGAAATTGATAGTAGATGTAGAGCATGCGAGAGAGGAGAAAGATGGTCTCCTCAGACGCATCTTAACTTCCGCCTATCAGCTCGCTCAAAGATACATGGATAGCTTTGCTGTATACCACGGATAGCACATCATCATGATATAACAAGTGTTTGTCTAGGGGATTAACCCTAACCCCTGGCTTTGAAACATCGTTGCTCAACTATAGTCAGTGGTCAACTCAATCATGACCTAGACCGTCAGCAACGACGTAGAGACAGCCCCCGCTTTCAAGTCAGACAACAAACTGTACTAACATCACAAGTAAACGCTCAGACTTGTTGTCTGTTTGATCCTGGTGTTCTCAAGGAGAGCCTGAGCAAGTCAAAGCCCTACCTCGGCATCAAGTTGGTCTCGTGCGACTGATCCCAAGCGGCATGCGACGAATCTTTACATGCGAGGGCAATAAGGGCTATGCAAGGAAGACCTAGAGCTCACCTCTGTCTAATGGCATCTGCCCAAATACTATATGTCATGGCTGACACGATCCGTCCCTACCTATGGAAATAATAGGACCTGATCATAGTGACCTTTGGCCTAGTTGGGAGCATGCTTGCCCGGCCACGTCACACACGCTCTTGCAATGGTAAAAACAGTTGAAACCAAAACTTGAAGTTTACGGAGTATAAAGGCAGCCATTCTAATGTAAAACTTATCCAACTAACCCCTTTTTCTGATGGAATGTACTTATAATCACAGGCTATCGTAGCTCTGCCGCGCCTCCCATGCTGTCTTGATAGCTGGGGCGGCACGGGTTAGGTCGTCTTCGGTAACGCAGTCGGCTATACTCTTGAGGGTTTTCTCGACAACAGAGATAGGGTTTGCATCTCTCTTGTCATTGCGAAGGCGGTAGAAACACCAGCGAGATTCGCTGTCTTTGTAGCATTCGACGATAGTACCATCTAACGGAGTACGCATCGCTCTTAGGTCATCCCATTCTTCCCGGCTGACGTACATCTCGCCAAAGGGGAGATACTCTTGTGGGGAGAGCATGACAGACAAATGGTAGATAGGGATGACGTTTGTAATCTGGTTCGGTAACGCTGTTGATCTTGCCTTCGGAATCCGGCTTAGCAACAGGAAATTGTAGATGCATGCGGAAGTCAACTGTGTTGTCCGAAGCAGGTTTCCATTTGAGGATATGCTCATCTAGGCCAATATAGTAGGGTGTGTTACAACAGGTGAAGATGAGGCCGTCATTCCCACGAATGCGCTTGACCTTTGGGATAATATCATGGAACATCATTTCGATGTTATAGCTGGGATACATCGACTTCACTTCGATAATAAATGGTCGGCCCTCCTGAGGAAAATCTCGGCACATATCCTTATAGGGCCCAAGTACTTCCGCCTTAAGATATGCTAAGCGCTTGTCGAATGTATCATGCATTACTCTGTGTCCGCCTAACACTAGTATATCGAATACTAGGTACTTCAGCTGCTGCGAGCCGTCCTCGTAGGTATCGAGGACAAGTTCACCGTCTATTATAGTATCGTCATGGATCGACAGGAAAGTTTCATCGTCTGGCTTAGGATAGTGCAGCCCGGATACATAGCGGTAGTCGTTTTTGCGGTCGATCAGGTAATGTATCCCAGATTTGCCGGAGTTAGTGTACCCACGCGCCATGTACATTAGACACCGAATCCCATCGCTCTTCTCACAGACATAATAGTCTTTTTGCTGTAGCTCTGCCAGGTGTAGCGACGAGAAGCTAAGGGGGGCGGCACCAGGGTATCCGATCGTGGTTTGGCCGAGCAGGTTCGCAACCTTGCGGCTGAGGGTCTCAGCTCTCTCGGGCTCGACTTTGACGCCCACCACATTAGGTCGGGGAAGGAGGGGTTCATCGTTGAGAAATGATAGGAGATGTTCCAAAGTGCACTATACGGGCTTGTTCCCTGAAAAGTTACGGCTGTACGGAGTAGAATAGGCAATATAAACAAGGTCAAGTCCTAAGGTGGTGGGGGGTAATGGGGGTCTGTCTCGATCCACTGTGGGCGAAGACTGAAGTACACAGCCCTCCGAATATTCACACGAATTCTGCTACCCATAATGCTCGAACTCACCCAAAGTTGGGGTTTGGTAAGGCAATAAGCCGTAGTATGTAGTCTATACGGCGGAGAAACATAAAAAACAAAACAAAAAGAAAATCTGGCCATTGGAGTTTACATAAAATAGAACCCATCACATACTAAAGGCCACGTGAGATCGAGAGTCTTATAAAGTGAAGGACTGATATCATTTATACAACCTGGTCTATTTCACTCAGGGGTGCGTATTATATCAATGTATCAAAAGGCTTGGATGTTGGATTCGCTTTTTTCTTTCCAAACTTTTTGTCCATGCTCAGCTTTATATGGTGATGGCTTATGTCTTAAAATATATATTCAATGTTAAGTTGCTACCTTCAAAAAACCTCCTGCAGACAGTAGCAGTCATATAGGCATTTTCATTGCCAACGTCCCTTTCACCAGAAACCCAGATAAGGAAGATACAAGAAAGAATGAACGAAGGAGACGCTGTACGGACGTACTCAGTATGGACTACAGACGACAGAGTACAGAGACCGAAGGCTTAGCCTATAATAGAAGGCGGTATTAGTGAGACACCACGCTAGTGGGACCTCCTGGACCTCAAAGCCATGGAAGAAGTACTCTGGAGATCGTTTATACCACTTCTATCTCTACAGAACGGGACATGCCTGACTTTTAAATTGGCCTTGTATAAGTAGTAATCTGGTAGAACACCTATACCACTTAGATTAGGTTCCTAAGCGTTGGCAGACCTACGACAGTGACCCTCGAAAACTATCAACATCCAAGGCGGCCTCTGTGAAAACGTTCAAAAATTCTGCCGGCTGGACTGATCGGAGTAGTTTCTTATCAGCGCCAGCAGCTTTAATGACTACTGTCAACACGTGATTCGCGACAGATGCGTGTCGGACGATAAGAATTGCAATTGACGACTCGAAGTACAATCGCGATAGGTATTTGAGTTCTCGGTGTCAGCGCATGCATCACACAGGCGCACCCGAAGTACCAATGTCCTACGAAAAGCCCCTTGCGTTCAGTCAGAACGCTTTCCAACCTCCGGAGGACGAGGACGACCATGCAGAGGGGCCTTCTTTTAGACGACAGAAGCGACAAGCAACTGTCTACGATGCCGTAGCTGGTTTGGGGGACCAACCCGAGCTTTAAAAAGATTTTTTTTCTGATCGATCTTAGGCCGGATAAATGCACACGGTTTCCTTCCATTAATTCCTTTCTCCTCGCGATACCGTGACACGGCGTCCTCTAATTTTCGACCTGTCCGTCCGGAAGAAGTCCTCTTTCGTCGGCAAAATGCACCGACGCGGTACGAGGAGAATGACTTCTACTTTGCCCATGAATCCCTTCCGTCCGACCGTCCGCTCCCTAGTTCCGACCTGCTAGAAGCTATTCATACCTACTCAGCGGACTACTACGACTACGCGACTCCCGACCGCGGCCAGGATGATTACCAAAGCATGGATGAAACGGCGCTGATTGCCATGGGCATACTTTTGGAGGAGATGGCGAAGGAATCCCTCGGCAAAACGGGTGATTTAGTCCTGGTGGAAGGCGAGGAGATAGGAAGCGAGGAGGAGCAGTCTCGATCCCAGACTGCGAAGCGCGTCGGCCGTAAAAGGGCCAATACTGGTCGAAGTAGCATCCTGGCAAGCTCGGGGGACGAACTCGGGACGATTGTGAGGAGGCAGAAGAGAAAGCGCACAAAAAAGCCGCGACTGGTTCGGACAGCCTCTACGACCGATGCGGACTGAGCCGCGGAGCCCTTGGCGACACATGAATATACCGTGCAATTAATGCCAGCTAAAACCTTTTTTTTTAGGGCATCGGATCATGGATTGGCCTCGTGATCTGAACCTTGTGGCGTTCAATAAAAGAGATTGGCTGTTGGTGATACGCTGCGAAGTTCAAGTTCTCGACTCCCACCCAATTGATCCACCAATAGGCGCCTTGCCTTCCAATATGTTAGCCCCTTATGACCCTTGGAAACGAGCTGTGGCATTCTGTGGCGTCTCGCCTGTCAAATGATACTGACAGCGAGGAGTCATTTGCCTCCCCCCCTCCCAATTCCGGCCAAAGAACGTTGTGGGTGTATTGGGCTCTCTGGTTTACCGTGGTCAAGCATGGGAGATTTTGATCCTTCGGCACTTGGCTTAGCTTCCCCTTGTTGGTTTTTGACGAGTTATCCTCGGTAAACATGGCTTCGAAATGATTTAAGTCTCCTAAGGCAGAAGCTAGAGGCTTGGCCATTACTCGTTCCGGCTTGGACGCCAGGTCTCCATTGGAGGACCGGACGCTAGACCGTCCTTAAATTCCCCGGACTTCAGCCACGGCTCCCATACTGGTCCTTCAGCCCCAGACTTCCTTTGGCGTTGTCCTCTTTTGTGTCTGGGGTACATTCCAAAACAATTAGCCTGAAATCAATGCGCTTTCTTCTCATCGCGTACGACAGCCGCCTTGGCGAGTCCTTTGGACGAATCATCTAGTACTACGTTGTGTGATTCTCGGCCCGCCGAGCCTGTACAGCTCTGGCTCACTTGCCTGCCGGCATCGAGCTCGAGACCAGCTCCCCCGCGCCCTATGGGACCTGCTAGTCGATCTAATCCCATCGTGTCTCGAGAAACCCCATTGGACACGCTTTCTTGGGTCCCCAGCAGTTTAGCCGGACCATGTAATGTAGCGCTTAGCTAGATTTGATAGACGGAAAAATCCCCGGTTGAAACGCGGTCGAACATGGCGTTCTTTAAGGTCGCTTTCCCCCTCATGCAATGTACTGTTACAGGGTACAGGCGTGTGTCTTCAACTCGGTCGTAGAGATTCGCATTTGCCAAACGACTGACCCGTTACTGAATTCACAATGGGTTCGGACACCTTCCAACTTGCCGGTCGGCAGTTCCCCAAGGTGACATGGTGGAAGAATCCAGGCATGAGAAAAACCTATATCTGTCTGGGCATGGTGGTCCTGACGGCGGTACGTTCCCCTGGCTCACTAGTGATAGTCCATCCGACCTCGTGCTCATATTGCATTCCGAATAGGCCACGAATGGTTACGATGGATCCATGATGAACGGTCTTCAAACCCTCGAACCCTGGCAGGAATACTTCAACCATCCCGGTGGCTCTCTTCTGGGAATCCTTAGTGCCATTATGTCCCTGGGATCCCTAGCAGCTCTACCGGTCGTACCGTACATTGCGGATCTGCTGGGACGTCGGATGGGTATCTTGATCGGTTGCTTGATCATGTAAGGTCTTGCCCGTGCGGAGCCTCAATCAGGGTACTTATTATATGCTAGGATCCTGGGTGTTGTCCTTCAGAGCATCAGTGCCAATTACGGCATGTTCTTGGCAGCTCGATTTCTGATCGGTTTCGGCGTCGCCATTGCTCACGGCGCTTCTCCTCTCTTGATCACCGAATTGGTGCACACCCAGCACCGTGCCATCTTCACCACAATCTATAATAGTACGTCTCCGCATCCCAAGTCCTGTCCTCTCGTGTGTTTCGATTAACAAGACCCAGCCACGTGGTACTTGGGTGCCATTGTCGCGGCGTGGCTCACCTTCGGCACCAACAACATTTCGAACAACTGGTCCTGGAGAGCTCCGACCATCGTCCAGGCTGGGCCGTCGGTCATCCAAGTCATCTTTATCTGGTTTGTCCCCGAGTCGCCTCGATTTCTCATCTACAAAGGCAAGCACGAGCAGGCCCTCAAAGTTCTGGCGGACTGTCACGCCAATGGTGACCAAGAGGACGAAGTGGTTCAGCTGGAGATGCACGAAATCAAGGAAACCATTCGGTTGGAGAAGGAGTTCGAAAGCAACAGCTGGATGGAACTGATCCGCACCAAGGGCAACCGACATCGCATGATCATCTGTATTACGGCCGGTTTGTTCTCTCAATGGTCTGGCAACGGTCTGGTGTCCTACTATATCGCTAAAATTCTTGATTCCGTCGGATACACTAGCTCCGTAGAGCAGAACTTGATCAACGGCTGTCTCCAGATCCTCAACCTGATCGTGGCTTTGACGATGTGCTTCTTTGTTGACAAGATCGGGCGACGCAGGCTCTTCCTCACCTCGACCGCCGGCATGTTAGTGGCATTCATCGTGTGGACCATCTGCTCCGCTCGCTATGATATCGGCAAGGCCTCGGGGGCGGCGAATGCCGTGGTCGCCATGATTTACATCTACTACGTGTTCTACAACATTGCTTGGTCGGGCCTTCTGGTGGGTTACACAGTGGAGATCCTCCCGTACAGTATCCGCGCCAAGGGTATGACCATGGTGTGGCTCTGCATTGATGCCGCGCGTAAGTGCCCCTGTACCCTCGTGGTATGCTAGTCGCTGACCCTTGGCAGTTTTCTTCAACCAGTACATCAACCCCATCGCCCTCGATAACATTGGCTGGAAGTACTACATCTTCTACTGTGTGTGGCTTGCAGTCGAGCTGGTGGTGGTCTGGTTCTTCTACATTGAGACCCGTAATACCCCGCTGGAGGAAATCGCTCGGTACTTCGACGGGGAGACCGCCATGATTGGCGGTGCTGCCGCCACCGAGAAGGCTCGAGAGCTGACAGACACATTGCACGTTGAGGAGGTCGTTCCGACGAGTGATACCCAGAAGGAGCAGGGTCGCGTGAGCGAGTTGAAAGTTTGAGGATGGCATCTCCCTGGTGGATATTGTACCTAGTAATCGGTGTTGCTCGGCGGGGATCTCCATGATTTCGATTCAATCTCTGTTCTATATCATCTATCTGTGATTAATGTAGCGACTGCTTTGGCGCATGCGGACCAGTTTTCCCTTCTCCCTCGACGGATGTAATGTAATGTAGAAGATCACGAGTTATCATTGGAACCAGGTGACTGCACCTGACGTCGACTGTCCTACAGACTGAACATCTCCCGGCCTACCACTTGACGAGTACTGAGAGATAATCTGAACCACAGTCCCCCATTCGAACTAACATCAGCTGTACCCTCGATAACCTAGCTCTAGTAACTTACACCATGGTATGTCACTACCCAAGACAAACCCACATAGGTTTCCATCTTACAACAATGCAATGACCCATGAATCACATCAAACTAATGAAAGAAAAGCCCCCCAAACTCACCAAAGTCGAAAAACAAGCGCGCATCGTCTCCCACCTCCGCTCGACCGGAACCTGCCACACGCTCAAAGAGCTCGAGAAGATGCTCCCCTCGATCGTGTCGATCCGTGGCATGCAAGTCAAAGAGTACCTGCACGAATTGGCCGACGAGGGCCAGATCCGGGTGGAGAAGATCGGAAGCGGGAACTGGTACTGGTGTTTCAGTGGAGAGGAGAAGAGGGAACTGGAGCGAAAGGTGGAACAGCTGCAGGAAGAAGTGGATCGACTACGGAGCAGTACTGAAGAACTGGACAGGCAATTGGCGGTCAGGAAACGGGAGATAGAGGATGATGAGAAGGCGCTGGGACCCGGTGAGCGAGAGAGGTTGATCCGGAAAAATGCGGAGTTGCAGAAGGAGTGTCAGCAGTTACGGAAGGAGTGGTTGGCGGTGTCGGCCAGCATGGATGGGGGCAAGGGGATTCAGGAGATGAAGGATGAGGTACAGGAGTTTCAGCGGGAGGCGCAGATGTGGACGGATAATATCTACGTGTTGGAAGGGTTTATGAGGAAAATGGTCGGCGCGATCGCGAGATGATGGAGATGTTGCAACGGGAGTGTTACGGGGAAGACTATGTGGAAGGGGAAGGGTTGCGAGAGTGGGAATGATCAACCTATTCTTCTTCTTCTTCTTCTTCTTCTTTTCTATTTTCTTATTTCTATTTCTATTTCTATTTTCTTTTTTCTTTTTTAAATTTATGTTTGTACTGAATCAGGAGCGCTGACTCCTGAGGGAGTCCGTACTCACTCGAATAACGGGTAGTTATTATAACTCTAAAACCAACAGATGTGGAGGCGCCAAGTCTCAAAGCCCATGAGAACAAAAGCTTGACTGACGGGCCACGCGAATTCGTTGGCTTTTCCACTTCTCCGCCTCTGGCTTATCGCGAACTCATTTCCCTCACTCCACCAAACTCCTCGCCGTTTATCCCAACAAATCACTCGACATCCTCCTGCAGACGGAGCGCTTTCCGACCTGCCCGGCCCCTCGATTCCATTGGCCTTCGCCCTGCAACTCCCGCATTGAATCCTCCCGTGTTGCCTTCGAAAACGCTTCTCTCTCTTTCTCTCGCTCGCTCCCTCACTTCCGGCAATCTGTACTTCCGGGGCTGAGGGCGATACTTGACCCTCTTGCCATTTCTCTCTCAATGATGCGGGCCTGTCATCTCCTCTCGTGATTCTCCTGCGCCTCTTCCACCACCTCCTCCCCTCTCTCTCTCTCTCTCGGTCCCTTCGCCGTCACCCCCCCTCCTCCGTCCGACTCGTTTGTATATAGGATCCCTTTTCCGACCGTCCCCTATCGCGTGTGCAATTCCAGATTGGAGGGACAAGCGAGGAAAACCAAAAAAGGAAGCACTAGACAAAAACAAGCATTGCTCGGTCGCGTGTTTGTTTTCCCCGTCGGCATTTGCGCCCGACGCTGACATTGGGTCTGGTGCGATTGATTGCCCGAAGCTCCCGACTGGCAGATTGCTTGCTCGAGTGATCGATCGGTTTCATTTGGTTGTTAATATCGATCAGTCATTGATTCATCCACACGGCCTTATCTGGCTGCACCGGGGAATTTTGAACGGTCCTTCAGCCATATTGGGCTCACCATCCAACCCCCTTGCGTGGCCGCTCCTCTGATTTCGTTGTCTCTGGTTGGTCGTTCGATACTGTGGATATTGAAGTTGACTCTATTCTTGCATTCCTCCCCTCCCTTACCCTCCCTTCCTTTGTCGCCCCTCTTCGTTCCTCTTTCCCGTTCCTCTCTTCCTCTTACCAACTAGCACCTCCACTCCTCGTGTATGGACTGAGGGAGGTGTGACTGTGGGTCATGTCCGTCAACTCTCCCCCCGCTCAACCCTCCTCGTCGCCGCTTGGTCGGAATCGCAGCTCTCTCTTACACAAGTTTCGCTCGTCACTCGGTCAGCGCAATCGCAGCCTTACTGATTTCTACATCGAACCCGACGACCCCTGGCGTTCCTATTTCCCCGGGGATGTGATCAAGGGGACCGTCGTCCTTACCGTCGCTCGTCCCGTTCGCCTTACACATCTCGTCGTTTGTTTACATGGTTATGTCAAGGTCTTTAAGAATACAGTTCCCTCCGGGGAGACGGCCCCGGATGTGGGATTTCTCGGGCCTGGGCGCGGGCGCCGAGGAGCGGAGTATTTGGGCAATGGGCTGGCCACGCTGTTCGAAGACGAGGTCGTCCTCTGCGGAGAGGGCCGCCTTAAGGAGGGGATCTACAAGTTTCGCTTTGAGATGGTCTTTCCGCCATATGCCCTCCCCAGTAGCATCAGTGTGCGTAATCCATTGCGGCTCGCGCAGGTTCTCCCCCCTCCATTATTCGCTAACGAAATGCGGCGTCTAGTTCGAACGAGGCACCATTACGTATATGCTTACGTCCACCCTAACAAAACCTACCACCATCAACCCTACCGTTTCCTGCCGCCGACGTGTGAACCTCATGGAGAATATCGATATCGCTCCCTTTCCCGCCCCGAAAGCCCGTGTCGTGACACTGGAGCCGGTCTCGAAGCGCACGCGATCGAAGGCAAAGGCGAAGTCGACGAGCTCGGATACGGCACCGGATTCAACGTCGGTCGATGTCTCGGTCAGTGGCGCAGCGGGTTCGGACCATCGCCCTCCGTTAAGTCCCGCTCCCAGTAACGTCAGCTCGTCGAGTCGGATGAGCAACAGCAGCCAAAGTTTCCAAATAGCCAGTGACCCGAGCTCGTCGGCCGGCACTGGACTGCGAAATAGTGAAGCGCGCAGTCTCACGCCCTCCTTAGGAGATAAGACCATCACGCTAAAACAGAGGTTCTGCGCGCGGGCGTCCTTCCTGGAGATACATTACCCATCAAAGTCACCATCAACCATTGCAAACAGGTGCGCAGCGCACATGGGATTATTATCACCCTCTATCGTCAAGGACGAATTGACCTTCATCCATCGATTCCGGTTGGGACCTGCGCGAATGGGAAGAAGCCCGTTTATGAGGACATCTATCCGCGATCCCGAACGGGGTTGGGCGGTCTGACGATCGGCACCAGCCGGACCAGCAGCGTCTTCCGGAAGGACTTGGCGCAGTCGTTCGCCCCGTTGGTGGTCGATCCCACCACATTAACGGCCATCGTGAAAACATCCATCCGCATTCCCGAAGATACCTTCCCCACTATCACGCGTACCCCGGGTAGTATGATTAATTTCCGCTATTATGTCGAGGTCGTGGTCGATCTTCGCGGCAAGCTCACCTCGCCCGAGCGGTTCTTGCCGCGGTTCAACTTGGTCACCTCTGGCAGTAACTATTCTCCCAGCGGCAAGGTCCTGAATCCGACCGATGCCAGCAGCAACGCCATCACGGCGAATTGGGCGGGGAACATCTTAGATACCGATCAAATCCGGCGGGAGAAAGGGGTCGTCGCCGTCGCCTTTGAGGTGGTGATCGGGACGAGGGATTCCCATCGTCGGAAAAACGAACCGCGACGCGCCTCCTCAGCCGCGGCGAGCTCGGATCTACAGTCCTCCGCTGGAAATGCTCAAGGGGATGGGGAACCTTGGCCGGCAGATCAGCACTCCGTGCCCAATGGGGAATCCGAATATCCGTCGCCGGAAGAGTATGGGCCGCAGGAGCTGTTCTGGCCGGAGTACGGGGACGAGTCGCAGCCGCAGTACCAGTCCTTGGGCGAGATTGTATCGACGCCCCAATCGGAAGAACCGACAGACGAAAAGGCGCGCATGCGGCACGCGGAGCAGATGTTGCTTCCCAGTCAACCGCCGAATGAGGCGGAAGCTGGACCGTCGACCGATGTTCCCACGGCTCCTGTGCTTCCCGAGGATGATCACATCAACGGCTACCACCACTTGCCCTCACCGACTGAGAGCACGGTGCCGCAAGCGTTGACTTCGGCTGAATCGGTTCAAACAGTCGTGCCTGGCAGTAGTACTCTGAATCGGCCTTCCGCACCAGGCGATGACAAACAAGAGCTGGAGCGACAACGGTTACTGATGGAGGCGAGTGCGCCAGATGAAAATGGACCGTCCCATAGCAATGCCGCCGATGGACCGAGCGCTCCCGTCTTCCACGACGAAGGCGATCACCAGCTGGTTGGTGGCAATGCGCACGGAGACGAGTCCTTGCCGCGCTATCAACGGTAGCACGACACGACGGGATAGTGATACACTTTGATTTTCTTTATGAGATTTATTTGCATTTACGGTTGGGTTAACCCGGAGATACCACCACGTTGGCATGATTTTGAAGTATATTTATTCTATACTATATTTCTTATTGTCTGAGAACATGGCTTCCCCAGAGGAAGTAGACATCGGCGTTAGGTTTGGCATAGCGGCAGGCTATCTGCTCTGCAGTGAATACATCGTATAGCATACATCTTCACTGTCTCTATTCTGTATGGGTAGCGTCTTCACAAAAGATAGTTCGACTACAAGCTTCACTTATATAATTCACGATAAATACCTTAGGTGAAGAATCTGAATGAATGGCATTTTCTGTCCATATAACCTGGCCTGTAGGATCCAACTCCCACCGTTTCTTCATACTACATCACCCACCCAACTATGTACATTGTCCATAGAACCTTTCCATCAATCATAGCTATCATGACTATACTAGCTCTGAACTCCAACGAAATGCCATCTCATAATGCCCTAGCTGAGAGATCCACAGCCACATACCGAGAGAACCATCTCTTATCGAGACCTAATCCTCCCCCACGAAGGAAAGAAAGGTGTATTCTTTACAAAACCCTAGCCATCCCCAGGGGCCATTTACCAGACGACACACCCATTTCGTCTCCCCAAGGTTCTGCACACATCATAGATCCTGGAGTTTGCCTGATCAAGTCAAACCCAAGTCGAGTCTGCCGAGATCACTAAGTATAACCGAAGACACCGACATCACTACACTGTGACAGTCCACGCCCACAAGAGCTCACTATTCAGGAATCTTGCCGTGTATGCTCTCTTCTCTGGATCCTCTTGCTGTGCCCCGTGAATTAGTGAGTAAGTGTTTGACTCTCGATTGAACGATGGGTAGGTTAACATTGAGCAGCTGCACAACTGGACCATTTCAAAAACATCACTGGTCAACGAGGCACTTTGTCACAGGTGTATATGGCTAGTATGTGCAGAATAGCAAAACCAACAACTCTGGGGCTATACGAGACACCCATATCTTGACTATCCCTTGAGCAAATAAACATCATTTGCCGGGGTGTACTGAACGAGTGGCCTCCCTCCCATGTTAGGTAAACGTATGTAGTCACTGGGAGGGAACGAATGCTGAACCAGGGAGATATTGCTGCTGCCATTGCGGCGCCCCATAACAGCACCTGCAATGGCAATAGCAGCAAGGACAGCAGCCAGAAGAACAGTGGTAGCGGGTTCAACACCTCAACAAACCTACGCAACTTCGATTCTTTGCAACCTTTCCTCAAGGGTAAGGAGCAGTGCAGTGAAGAAATGGCCAAGCTGTCTAGGCTTGATACCAGAAAGAGAGATAGTCGGGTGACATGCTTGATGTTATACTGATGCCCCCCCGCTGGAGGCCCACTCCAGACAAGCCAGCTCCTTCGGCTATAGTGGGTTCTTCATCGGGTGCTGGCCCTGAGTGGCACGCTGACGCTACCGATGAAGAACTTGACCCTCCAGAATTTATCATGGGGTTTGGTATACTTGGTGCAGTGGTACTTGCCGCCAAACAAATTTCTACTGGTATCCGACAGCGGAATGAGAAGAATAGTGGCTATCGCTTCAGCCGGGCTCAACACCCGGTCGACCAGAGAACAGTTTGCTCAGCTCGATGAAGAGACTCTTGAGACTCTGTTGGTCAGCCTCCTCACAGGTTCAGAAACGCTACCCCAAATCCCAAGCAAATCAAACAGAAAAATGGGATTCCCAACCGTGAGGCTACTTGTATTAAGGAGATTGACCATGGGTTTTGGTGAGTGGAACGACATGGAAACTTGGAGTTACTGTTAAGCCTAGTGGAGGTTGGTGGATATATTTTGAACTGAGCCATCAGGAAAGAGACTGAACGACACAACGCATCCATTGAGCTTCAACTTCATATCTACACCAAATAACTATGGACTTGGGTATTTGAGTTGATTCATAATCCGACATTCGTTCTCGAAGCTAGCGCGTGAATCAGAATATGTGCTGCGACTTGCTATCGATGCACGATGGCTAGAAATCCCCAGAACGACAGGCAACTCATACATTGCGATCAATCCTGCCAGGTATACAACCCGACCATCGAGATTTGGAAGCTTGGCGGAAGGGCTATGCTTCTACCCTGATAGGTAGTGTGTGGAGCTGTCCATAATGCATTGTCAACGCACGCTGGCATGATATTTGGCAACGGTGGATTGTTCCACACATTATCCTTTTCTTTACGAAGGACACGAAGATATCTGTGTGAAACGCAGCCTGGGTACCTGTGCTACGCCTAACGCTGGGAAGATCAGGCGGCGAAGGGTAAGGCCTGTACGCATTGCTGCATTATACAACACTTTGTCTTGGACTTCCATATCTCCTCTTTATGACAGCCAGGCCCGACCCCTCAACACTAGGCCCCGCATAGACGTCGAGATAAACCTGGCAAGCCCCCTGTAGTTCCGCTGGGTAACAAGACCTGGGATCTGTCAGGGGTATCCTACTTCATCTTGCGCATGTTGAAGGTGATACAAAAAAGAACCCCGAGGTCCTTATTTCATACTCAGGAAGTCGAGCTTGGGGTCCGAAGCCTTGTGGACAGAGGTACTCGGGACGTATAATAATGTCCCCATACTGAGCATAAGTAGCCGAGACAAAGACTTGGGGGAAGTGACCTACCGACGTTCACGTCCACCCAAAGGTACAGAATGTTGATAGTTCCCCAAGGGTCAGAAGCGGGGGCCGTGATCATCCTGTGCATTGGATGGCTTTTCGCTCATGCCGGGATAGCTCAGACATGTAGGCGTATCCTCCTTGAGCGTCGACCCGATGGCCCGTTAAGGCGTCTTCTTTTCCCAGCCCGAACAGACTACTGGGATGGGACAAAGAAGCGGAAAGACGCCTGGTCACTGCATATTGATCATCGGAATATATCAGCTGGTAAGCTAGCTGAGAAGAACGTTGATCGGTCAGTTTTATGTCTATATCTTCCCCGAGAGTAGGCATTCTCTGCGTGATACAGACAAACACCGCTCTCCCTTCACACTGCCTATCACTAGGGATGGTAGCGTTTATGGCCTGGGACTTTATGCGGTCTACCTATTCGTGCTGTCCAGTCATAGAGGCCATGGGTCATTTCAACATGACCACTCCAGCTGAATGCCTCGGTTCTTGAACCTATGCCCTAAGTTCCGCATGAATAACAAACCACAGTGGCTAGCCGTTCTCCTATGGTGGGCTAAACGCTTTAAACTAGTACGATATCTCTATGGGCTGCTAAACAATGGGGGAAAAGCTAGTTACGTTCATGCAGTATCATGACTTGTCCATCCCTACAACTTGACACATTGTGGACGTGCTTAACAATAGAGTTGCTCAAACAATTCAAACCCCAGGGATACACCAATAGCCTCCAAATGCGATTGATTATACAGATACTAGAAGACGACCAACACACCGATTTGGCCGTATCGGAGAACGTTCATGGTATATCAGCCCACCCGGTAAAATCGATATACTCTACGGCGTGGCATTCACAAACAGACGGATCTTCCGAGATAATGAACCAGATTATTGAGGTCGTTCTTCAGTATGCGGTAGCATCAATGGAGTCAGTTATCGGCTAGCCCAAGGCATTACCACACCTACAGTCTGTGTATAACCGTTCGTCTTACTCGACTACGAATGAAACACCGCACTGTCTAATATATGGCTGGTGCCAGAATAGTGAACGCCAGCAGAACTGCAGCTTATATCAAACTCGGTTTCAAGATGGATCATCAAGGCCTCGAGGAATGTCTCGGCGCCATGAAGAGTAACATTGGTTTATAGCCTGCAAGGGATACTATGCAATGATGGGCGAATACCTGATAAAATGATATCCGTGAATTATCAACAAATCTCTAGGTGATCCGCTCTTGGGCTTTGAGTTGGAGACCGGGGGCTTGCAGTACACTGCCAAATACCTCAATATGGGCGAGCCGATACGATTCCATGGCTTGTCACTGACTATCTTGAACTGGATATGCTGGAAAGACTACCTGGGCTATGATGTCGACTCCCGTACGGCTGTTTATACGCATACTGATGTGAACATTGCGGTACAGCATCCAAGATTTGGCCTCCGTCACGGTCTGTTGCGTGTGAGTATTGTGCTTGTTTTGCATCACGAAGTCTCTGACAATAATCAAGTCAGACGTTGGGTCTTCAACTAATTACAACACGGAACTACGCAATGGCTATATTGGAGACCATTCTCGGTCATGACGAAGGAGCCGTATCGGCGCTTACTGAAGGGTGCTCGTGAGAATAGGCTAGAACATTGCAATCTACCTGCGAAAAGCCACAAATAGATTTATCGAGGCTGTTCGGGGATTACGCTCCCTAACGTGAGTACAATGCATTCCCGACTAGGGAAGTGGGTGCCCTAAGAGGTATTCAAGAGAGATCGATTGGACACTAAATTCGACAATAAGCTGTTTAAATAGCCAGTTGTGGGACATAGCGGCACTTCGGGTATTCGGTAGTAGACACCAGCTGCACCCAGAGAAAAGGTGGAAAGTGGGAATGGATGTTGATGTGGCCAGAACCCACGGCTGCACATGTGTTGAAGATGCATGTGCCACCTTTATCACTCGAGATTTTGAATCCTTTGATATTCGGTCATGGCGAGCAAAGGTTATCTGGGGGCAACTCGTGACAGACACTCACAGGAACCGAGAGACTCGAAGTATTGTTTTCCGCGGCAACTCAGAGTCACCCTACTTGTAATATCCGGCTTCTCTGGCAGCTGGTTGATCTAATCCGATGTCAACTACAAGACGCATTTCAATATAGCTGGTCTAGGCGTATCTGGGCCAGATATAAAGCAAGTTCATGGTTAATGAGTGAAAGCATACCGAAGTTATATAGCAGCACGGTAGGGCTCAGCGCTAGCCATCATACCTGGTCTGGATGGCTTTGACATAGGTCTATAGACCAAATCACCGAGTACATGCAAGATAACCATGTCATATACGGGTTTGATATCAACGTACAACGAAACCATCTTTTTTCGACAGGTGTCCGATCCTACCATAGGCTGGAAACTTGAGTATAGCCCGGTAGTTCTACACAACTATACTTACAGCCAAGGTGTATCCGCAAGTGTACAACAGTCAATCGGTGTTGAAACCATGCAATAAGTATTTATGAGGTTAATTGGAGTCACAAAGGTATTTTTCTCTATCAGTTCCGATTTGGCGATTCCTGTACCACATGCCACAAAACCCTTTATAATGAATATCGCAGAGTTTGTTTGCAGAGGGCGAGTTCTTGATCGGTTCGTTTCCAACGACGAGATGTGCCTTTCGGCTCAGAATGACGAGTGGGAACTCCCTTGGCAACGATACTACGGATTGGATATCCACACAGTTCTTCACCTTTGGCCTACTCCTTGGTCATCTCTAATATGTCCGGTGCATTACCGGGGCACCTTCAATCAGGGTATCTGGCAATCGCCGCCACCCATCAAACACATACGAATCAGGTCTGGACCAGAATATAGGACTCACTATCCCACACGAAGTAACCTGGTGAAACTAGCTATAGGAACTAATATTTCCCGATACTTGTAATTAAACATACTCCCGACAGTCTATAAATTCCGTAGGTCTTGCATCTTATGCTGGTCATGTTACTGTTCCATCGATCGAGGATTTGTCTACACACTGCAGAGGTGTTTCTGCAGAGGATACAGTTGCTATTTCGACTCGGGGTGAATATAGCACTTGCGTGATAATATTGTCTCCTTGTGTAGTTTTATTAAATGGCTGGTTTGCTTGTTGGAGACGATCTATAAGTATATTCATTTGTTTACATACTTTTAAAGCCGTTCATAGCGTCGGTTTATTTTAAACCTGCCGGCAACATTATCCAAGAAGCTATCGATCAAACTCCACCACCGTTATACAGTGGTATAGGACGAGTGAGGGTTGATTGAAACCCGGAGCCTGGGAACTGGGATTGCTGGGTCGTAGATTGGCTTAGGGTTATAGACTTGTTTAGAAACTGTTTAGAAAAAGACATATATATTTGTATCAGACAATTAAATCTTTAGATTTAGGTGTCATTTGCCAGAATCTATATAATATTGTTCTTTCCCGCGCATATATTCTGTACACCGTCCCCTATAAATCATTGAGGATGTCACGTCAGCCACAACAGACCGTCTCAGGACTCCAATGAACCATGGAAAAGAAATAAAAACAAAACTATTAAAAACAGAAACAAGGATAGAGAATAACACCCCAGAAACAAAGCCTCAGCAACGACTACCTGTCCACATAAACATAACCCCAGACCTCACCGTGTAACTCCAGAACCCAAGTACCGAACGAGCATCAACCGAGGCAACCGAAACTCACCAAAGACACCAGAAGAGTATAGGAGAACCTCTTCAGAACTAAGTTAATCTAGGCAACTCCTCTTATCAAATCAAACCCACCGAATCCAAATCCCATTGATAACCGATAAGCCGGGGGAGGATTGTTGGGAACCCAATTCTTCTTGGCAACGCAACCGCATTAAATTAGTGACCACCTCTTTCTTCCTTCCGCCTCGTATACGGGAAATACCACCACCAACCCTCAATCTCACCTCCTCCTTGCACCCACCTTTAACCTCCCACCCGAAACAAACCAACGCGAAAGAAAGCGAAAAAAAAGAAGGCAAAATGGCCTTCCGCACCGGGTCCTTCGCGACCTTCCTGATCGTCTGCCGTACGTTTCCCTCCTCTCTCCGTCTCCCCACCCCCCAGATAACCTGCAATGTAACCCCAGACTAACCCAACACTCCAGCAACGGCCTTCTTCCTGGGAATCATCTTCTCGCTGCTCCCCTACGACTACCCGATTCTCTGGTCCAACCACCCGACGCCGCCAACGCACTATGACTACTTCGAAGCGCACCTCCAGTTCCTGCACGCCTCGCCGCCGCTGATCCCGCGCATCCTGCACATCGTGATCTTCCTGGGCCTCCTGGGGCTCATCCTCAAGCTGTACAAGCCCTCCGAGTCCAACATGCTCTTCGACGGCGCGTCGCTGGTGCTCTACATGTGCGGCATCACGGTGTACATCGCGAACATCGTCAAGGGGCTGCGGTTGGTCAGCGCGGGCAAGTACGGCGAGGATCTGGCCAGTACGGACGAGGATAAGGGCCAGATCTTGGGCCGCGAGGATTCGCTCAAGGTCCTGGCGGCGAGTAATACCATCCTGGCGCTGGTGTTGATCGGGGTGTTGGTGTTGCAGGCGGGGCAGTGGTATGCGGAGCGGAAGGATGCGCAGGAGGTCGAGGATATGAATGGGAAGAAGGGCGGTGCTGCTTCTGGGGAGGAGGCGGTGGTGGCGCAGGGGGCGAGTTCCGGGGTGAAGGGCAAGGGTGCGGCTAAGAAGAGGAATTAAGTTTGTGTTGGCTTGCTTTGGTGGGTGAGGTGATGGTTCTGGATGGTTCTGGATGGATGGATGGATGGGTTGGGGTAGGGTGTGAGAGTACTTGTTCTTCTGTTTACTTTACGGTTTTGTTGGAGGTATGTGTGGCTGGCTTGGGAATATCGGGTTTGATATTTGTGGTCATTGTAAAAGTGCTCGCATAGTAGTCTCCTCGACTACTATCTGTCTATGTACACATACTGTCTCGTTTCACGATCGTCACGCTGTAGGGGAATCATAAGAGAATGAAAGAGCCAACGAAAACATAATTGCACTACATCACCCGCTCCGGCGCAAAGGAAAACGGACTCCGGGGGAGGTCGGGCGATCGCGGACTCAGCGCCTTGGCGAAGAGGTCCTCACCCGAGTCGGCGCTGGACGTGCGCGCCACCGTGCTCATCGACGCGAAGCCGTTGTTGTTGTCGTCGCGGCTCTGCTGCGCTTGGATCGACTCCGGCGGGTAATGCGCCACCGTCCGGACGGGTTCTGGCGCATCGGACCTCGGCGTCGGCTGCTGGATGTTATGGAAAGAGGTGAAGGACGACACGGCGACGTCGGGGGACATGGGGGAGAGTAGATGGTGCGTGGCCGCTGTTGTTCCTGGCTGTGTTAGTGAAACTGTAACGGGTGCATGGAAACAGGACGGCAACCTACCGTCCGACTTGGGAGAGAGCTCGCGCTGGCCCGTCTGTAACCGCAGTCCCTTGAGCTTTTCGCCCAGTTTGCCTCCAGTACTGGGCGAGACGGGCGTGGTCGGGCCCATGGGGTAGCGCGGGTCAGGATTACTCTGGATCGAGTTCCTCTGTGACTCGGCATTCGACCCGACCCCGAAATTCGTCTCAATCCATTCCTTCTCCTGCAGCGCCATGTGCAGGGCAATCCCCTCCGCGTTGGTGAGACATTCCTCCCGAATCTCCTTGTCCAGAGACTGCAATCGTTTCTTCCCCCAGATCGTGTGCAGGACACCCTTCTTGCCGGCGGACCGCCCGTCGGCGCCCAATTCGGGCGGGAAGATGGCCGGCAGGGGGTTCAGCTGCAGGGAGTGTTTTTTGGCCGCCGACTCCGTGGTCGGGGGTTCATACGATAAGGTGACGACCGGAGGGATGGTGACATGCGGTGGGAGGAGGAAGTATACGCGACGGGTGTGGTCGTTGGTTCGTTCGTCGGCGGGCAGCACGGCCTGCTTGCCTTCCCAGGAGACATGCCAGGCGCCGCCCGCGGAGGATCGGGTCAGATCATCGTCCTCCCATTCAATCATCAAGATCTTGGTTCCCTCATTGGCCTTTCCGGCCTCGAATTCGAAGCGAGCTAACGCCGTGATGGAGAGGCTGCCCGTCGGGACGCGGGGCGTCTCGAGGGCGGCAAACTCGCTGTCGGGGGTGAAGGGCGGCGCTTGAGCCATGGTGTCACAGGAAAGATACCACAGGGGACAGGTGAACGAAAAATCAAAAAGGGGAAGTGTGCTGCCGAATCAGGAATAACACGAACTCGATTGCAGGAGGACGCTCAGACTGGCTAACAGCCGGACTGCGAAGATGGACGATACATCGGAGGTAGGAGGAGGAGGTTTGGAGTCAACGAACAATGGGCGGGAAACGCTGGTGGATCACGGGATGGACGTCGGGTTTTAGCGCCACAGCAATTTTCCCCCTGCAGTGGAAATGGCCTTATTATTGCTGCTATTATTCGTCCTTCCAGGGAGGAATGGAGGAGAAAACCTCGCCTTAGGTTTGAGGGGCTGACGATCGTGGGTTCTAATTATAGTTTTATGGTCTCTTGGCACGGCGGCAGCACGACATCATTGTTTGTTTGTTTGTGGCCCAGTCTACGCGCTCTTCTATCCAGAGTACGTATGCCTTGTACAGAGTACTTCCGAGTACAATCGGGAGTGGACTCACCGTGGTCTGTCTGGTTCTAGACAAGTAAATGAAGACAGATCGTCTCCCATCCCACGAGAAACATGTCACGTAGAGCCCCCCATCTATCCGTCTCATGTCAGCAATGTCCGCATCATAGATCGATCCCGAGGCGATGAACCCACCATATCAGCTTCCGTCCATACCCGTCCACGTCATGACCCTCGCGGCCTGGGAATCTGCCTGGGAATCTGCCTGGAGAAAAATCAGGATAGAGGAATTCCACCCCTAGATCTCCACTTCCTGTAACATCTGGCTCGGAAACCCCTTCGATCGAAGTCGTCACGGTAAAACCCATCTACAGGTATGATACCGTATCGTACAGAAAGACCAGAATCTCCATTCACGACGATCCAACGCGGAGACCAAGAAACATATCAGACGAGATGAGCGGCAATCCGTGGTGACAATGCAACCATAGTCGGGGCCAAGAATGTGATGCGATCCAGAGTGAACCCCGTTCTGCAGGGGAAGTGCTTAATTTAGCATAAGTCGGGGCCATCCACGCCATATCAGTCTGGGGATCTGATACAGGAGAAACAATGACACGATCTCATTGGTATGCCCACAAAAGCTCAAGGAGAGGGGAAAGAATTCATCTGCAGTGGACGTGGGAATGATGCACCCCTTATCACAAGTGCTGGCTTGGTATAGCCGCCGTGCGCTGACGGTGATATCAGTTGAAGCACTTGATGAACATGGTTGAACCGGGAGATCTCCACCTAGGGGCTATTTGGCGTTAACAGGAGCTATTCATAGAATTAGCATGCTGACTTAAGGCTTGGAGAAAGCAAACGGTATGCAGGAGAACTGACCATTGCCCGGTTTCTACAATCGTCACCCCGGCACTAGCCATGGAGGGGTCTGGTTGGGGGACCTTCTCAGGACATTTCGATGATATTGACTTTGGTAGGCTGAGGAGCAAAAGTTTGAAGTTCGCACAAGACTCAATCACCCTCATTGGCCGTATGATTCCATACGGACGGGCTACACGCATTCCAATAATCGCATCCTCATCCTCATGGCCATCCGCACAGGATACATTCATTGTATATAGCAACCACCAAAGCCGTATCCAAATTTAGAGCCACTGGATATCGGGCGTTACCAAAAATATCCACCCTGGTCTACACCCACCACTAACACCCCCGGTCCTCCAGAAAAAGAATCGCCCAAAATAAGTTCCTTAGCCTGTGATGAAAATAGAAAGACTGCAGGGAATACATGCCCTAGTGCTGTAGGCATGTACAGGGTGTGTCTACCCCTCCCCCTCCTACGCATGGCCTTCCCCTCTTCCCCTCCGTCCCTTCGTCTTTGACATTGGTCGCTAACCGTCTCTTCGACCTTCATCACAGTCGAGGGGCATTCACACCGCGGTATTGGCTGACCAGGATGCAGTGACTCCCCGGTCGAAATTCATCACAACGATCTGGACTAAACAGTAGCGCCGGATTGGTTGCTTATTCCAGTGGATAGAATCCTTCCATGGACGGTCGACGCGCGACGATCCCTGCTGGCCGGCTTCGATGGTTGATATCACGGCGGCAATGCAGGGTTAATTGTGTGATGATGTACCTCATTGGACGGCGTTAACCGACAAGAATGAGGAAGTGCATTATTCTCATACATTCTATTGGTCGAGCCTGTTCTGAAGGATCCAACAAGTGGGATCGCAATTGAAAAAGCAAAAAAGAAAAAGAAAAAGAAAGAAAAAGAAAAAGCAACAAGAAAAAAGAAAAGAAAGTCAGGGGGACAGAGAGACGACAGTGCCAAAATGCCGAAGACAAAAATAGGAGTGTAGCGCGCCGACTTCAAGTTGTTCGCCGTCGTCACATTTCCCACGTCATCCGTCGTCCCCACACATTCTCCTGCCCCCGCTGCCAATCATCAGCCGTTGGCCTGCGGACCGTCGGAGGGGAACGTCTCCATTCTCGCCCTAAACCAGTCTAGCGCCGGCGCTTAACTGCAGGTGTCCATGTCTTTGGTTGATTGGCTCTGATCGGACCTCTTTTGGTCAACACTCAGCAAGCGCCGCTACTACTACTCTCACAGTCATTTCCTTTGCCTCTTCCTTCCCTCAATGGCCGGAATGGACGGATTGCGGGCTGGAGATGGAAAATGATGGGCAAAAGTCAAAATTGAATGTCGTGTAGCCCCTCCGTCTTTGTTCTCTGTCAAGTTGGTACTCCCGCGAGTTGGGACTTCGGTACGATAGGCACCGTTAGGATCCAGCATGTAGACGGTCATGCAGGTGCCCTGCGGCATGATTGCGGCGCAATCTCTACAGTGTAATCGGCTGAAACACCTGCTTTGAGAAGTCTTCCATTGACCAGGATCCTGAAGCCACCGTCTTCTAGCCACCCGCCGAAGAATGTAGCCCCCCTACCTGTGCATTCTGCAGAGCACATGAAACGTCGAGCGCGTCTTCTCTACCAATCAGGGCGGGTAGACGACCGGAGACGATCACGCTTGGCTTCGCGGTCGCCGATTGTGGAGAGACTCCAAGGGTTGAGTAGACTGCTGATTTGCAGGGGCGAAACACAATCAGCCACCAGAGGTTGCTTGAGATTAAGTCAATCGGCGGTTAGTTCCAGCTTCTCAGCAAGCAAAGTTTACGGTAGAGTAGGCTTCCTGAATCCTTCCACCATGACTGAGTAGGGCTGGCGCCGTATCGTGTAAATTACATTCCGGTAAGATTACATCTGCCGTATTCCGCCAATACGCCAATGGACGAACGATACCATCAACCAGAACAACTTTCTACTGTCGGACCAACGTCCACTCCAACCTTCTTGACCTGCTAGCCAGTTTTCATCACACTCGAATTGGTGTGTCGCTGGCCTTCGGTGGGTCTGCGTTGTATTAAGTCCCCAGGCTGCCGAATATCCTTCACCAAGGAAGCCATGGTGCATCGAGTTGGGCAACAACGCGGAGAAATTCGTCCATTGCGTCGGGTGGTAGGGTAGGAATACGATAAGATGCATGTCAGCGCGCCTGTTTCGCTGCTATCTCTTCCTATTGTTCCTTTTGGCGGCTTCTCAGCACCCCTCAGCCTCAGCCGCATGTCCCTCCGGAAGGGAAGCCCAATCGCCGCCGTTACCAGATTCCCGGGTCTCGCTGGCGTTCCTTGCTCGATCCTATCCAAGGATCTCGCCATGGGACTGGTTGCTGTCGAGCTAAATGAGTGGAAAGAGGCCAGTGGTTATCTGTGTTAGACTAACACGTGTGGCCACCACAGACGAGAATGAGCCCGAGCGGGGCATCTGGTAAACCTATACGGCTTCATATTGGATCCAGTCTGGCGGGTCGACACTCCAACGCCAATAAATCGGTATCGGGATGTCGTTTGAGCTCGGGCCTTCAAATTCAATTCAACAGGACAAGTCATCAGGTCAAAGCGGTTCTCGCCCTATGATAAACCGTCTGGCGGACATGGTTGCTCTTGAAGATTAGTATGAATATCCTGTTATGCTCAACACAATTCAAAATGCATTAGAGGAGTTTCGAAGGAACTTCATGCTTGCTTAGCAGGCCAAGGCCAAAGACAGTTTGTAACCACATAATTCATAATAGAAATTAGTCCACAGCATATCATTTACATTCCTGAGGGCAAGAAGGACAAGGCATTGGCAGCCACCAGGGCAACAGGTCAATTTTCTAAGAACATAGTAGAGAAAAACCCCCCGCATTGAAACGAGACCAAGGAAAAATCAAATTAACCATCGCTTAGCCGAAGTAAAAGCATCTTCCTAAACACCATAACGCCGAAAGCCTGCGCTAGTGCACCTGACCGTTTCCAAAATAAACTTTCATGAGACTGGACATTAGAATTTCTAAGGCTCATTAGAGTCCTCACGCTTTCTCCGCTTTCCCTTAGGAGGGTCCTCGAGCTGCGTTCGTTTGAAGGTTATGGTATGAGTGATGACATGCCGTACGCTGAATCTTCCACTGGGAAGTGCGCTGTGCGGGCCGTCCCAATAGCGCATTCTCCAGTCCGATGGAGACGCAGAATAAGGTGAATAGAGGGTGTTTGCACTTCTGGGAGCCTCAGTAATCGGCGAATACCTGGGAGGCGGCGGGATGCGTAAAGCCCGCAGGCTCCTCGGGTCTCTTCTCACTGAAGGTGCTGTGTACGGTGTTGGTGGTGGCAGTGAAGCGGCGGCTGATCGAGACGATTCACCATTGAAGCTGAAGGTACCACTGACTGCACTGGTTGGGCGTGATGCGGGCTGGGATGTTGGAGAGTTTGATGTGGTGGAGCGGCCTTCCCTCAGGGTGTGGATCTTGGAAAAGTCAGGCTCCCCAGTGATGGGGGATAAGATCGGTTGAAACTTCTTGAGAAACTCTGTGTAGGCCGCAGGAGGTGTGATAGGTGTCGAGAGTGGTTCATCCCCCCTTCCGTTGCCTGCTGAAAGGCTGGAAGATCCTGAGTCTTCCTGGAGCTCGGATGGAAAGACCATAGTCCGGGGGGTCTGTAATGGATGGAGAGTGGGTTTGATAGAAGGCATCTTGGGCGAAAAAAGATCGACAGTTCAAAAGAACACCAAGAAGGTCCAGAGAAGTGAATGAATGAGCAAGGACGACTTCAGAAGAGAAGAAAATAAAACCAAATAACGGATGACAATGTAGACCACGCGCCTGACCTTACACGTGCGTGGAAGTAGAGAGTATAGTAGGGGTCATGCAATGGATGGAGCAGACCATATAAGTCAGACCACAGAGCGAGAGAGTTGGGCCGTTGTGACAGACGTTCTCGAAGGAGAAGATATTAAGGAAACCTCTTTTCTTGACCTCTCGCTGGTCCTCAGTAAAAGAAAGAGAGAAAGTTAGGACGCGGAGTGAGATTTATGTTATAAAGTTGAGTTGCAAGGCAGGCGGGCGCTGCAATACAGGTAATAACGTTCACGTCGGTATCGATACAATACCGATGTTGGGTAATCTTTCACCAGAAGGGTCAGTGTCACGCCTTAGCCCGCAACGGGGTTAGTGCATCGCCCTCCCTCCGAAGTGCGCGGCTGCAGTCAAGCAACAACAAGAGCAACAGCAGCTGAGCACCTCACGAATCAGAGCATAGACTCACCAAATGGTAGGATTGGTGGCAATTCTTGGCCAGAATCTAGCAGTGCCGCTGCAAAGGTGCAGAGGCAACGACCGTTACGGCCAAAGCAAAGGCTTGATCTTCAGCTGTACTCTGATTCACGAAGCTCAGGGAGCTCGACAGCCAGAGGAGGGAACAATGATCGGTGATGTTTGAACCTGGAAGTAGTCTTCTATCCTCTGTCGTCCTCTCTATACCTTAACCGACTAGCGATTGCGCTTTCTGCTCCCCAATCCAACATATGTATACCCAGCAACCAACAACATACAAGAATCCTCTGGCGCCTTTCCTGCATCAAATCCCACATTGAGCACGAATCGCCACATGGGCACTACCTTATCACCATAGGCGACTATTAATCATGCTTCCTCAAATCGCCAATTTCGGGGCAATTGTCCCTTTTGGTTCGCTCAACGTTAACGCGGACCGCAACACTAGGGATTAGCGGCGGCTCGCCTTCGAACCGCAACCTTCACAAAGTCGTGGCTCAAGTGGACTGCATCATGATTTACCCTCATTTCGTTGCATACTTATTCAAGCTGTTAGACCCTTGATACGCTGTTTTTGTGAGCTTTATTGCCCGAAGGAGTGGGCTGGCGGTTACGACCCGTGTTAGCGCCTCCATGGCTTTTCGATGTAGCACACATGGCTGCCCCGGAGTATGTTGGAGCTTGCCCATCATACACTAACACAAGATATCTTTCAAGCGTGGAAGCTACAGTAGTTTCTCCACTGATCCAACGGGGGTGAACTCTAGTGTCTTGCTTGGCGTCTTGCTAACATGTCACACCAACTCTTGCAGAAACCTTTTGATTCGGCGATACGTGCTTGCTGATCTAGACTTCGTGATCACCTCCACCCATCTATCCTCCTTAGTTATGGCGGTTAGATTATTAGTCTTGACGCCGTGAATTCCAAAATCGCGAGTTTATCCATGTCTGGTTGACAGGTAGTCACCTTCATATGCAAGCTGACCAACCTTACACGGACAGCATCCGTGTTACCATTGCGCTTTGCATCGCTACTGGTACTAGCGCATTCTTTCAGCACTTTTATTTGGCGCGTTGACCTTTCCTAGCCATCTAGCAGACGCTTCCCCTGTCACCCGTGTGCAAAGCAAGGGGGAAATGCCGATAGTATGTTGGGTAAAGCAGGCCATGTAGTCCAATGGGTGTTGACTGTAACCTGCTCCAAGGCCATTCTAGACGGTAGTACATGCAGTAGTTCCTGATGGAGGGAGTTGTAAACTGCTCATGACCTACTCTCCCCCCCAATCAAACAATGGCCTAAATCTGTAGTTGGCTTTTCTTGACCTGTTGCGTTGCTTCCGACATCTCCATCGGTTACTGTTGTATGCCTCCAGACGCGGCCAAGCATTGGTAATGAATTCCCCCTCCTTCCCCCGCCAGGTGCGTTCCCCTCCATTCCATTTTTCCTTCTTCGGTTTGCTTTGGTGGGTTCTTTTCCCGTCCTTTTGGCTATCTCTATTGAATCCTTTCTTGCTTTATTCCCTTCCAAAGATCCGAGGAATCCAACCATTCCTCAGGTGGCTTGATTGCAGTAGGCAAAGCTCAACAGACTTGACATCGTGAATGAGCACGGTCATGAATGATATCACAGGTTCAGTCAATCAAGTAACCCCAGGAATATTGCAGTTTGTGCCATGTAGTGAAATAACGAGTAGACTATATAGCCTGCTCTTTTCTTCAAGGTCTCGCACCCCCTCCCAATTTTCTTTCTAACATAATCGAGCACCCCCAGTCATGGTAAAGGATGTATGTCTGCCTGCCTAGCCACTCCACCTCAAACGGTATCCTGGGGTTATCTTAGGACTACCTCTTAGAGAACAGATGCCCTACCAATACAGGATTATCAGGAGCAGCCGAGTCAATTCGTCATTATGTCTTCCCCTGTTTTACGGGACTGGGTCTATGCCAGAGGGCCTCGACAAAGGCATGCACAGGGTTATCAAGTAACAGCGACTCGAGTACTATTACAGCCCTTCGGATCCTAGACCGTTTTCCCTCTAGCTCGGATTGGGTATAGAGATTTCATTGAGTGGTTCGATGGAAACTGACTTAAAGAGCACTGCGATCGATTTTGTCCAAATGGTGCATATTATCCGTGGATATAACGGGGCCAAGTCGGAGATTATTTCATACTCAATTGCAGACATTTGTGCCCCCGTACGACTTGCAAGACACCTCCTAACCATGAGCAAGCCCAAATTGAAGCACTACTACTGGGCACAGTTAAGTTACCAAACACTTCTTTCAATCGGCTCCTTATTAAGTCTTAATAGCTCTCGAGTTCCGTTCAGGCATAGGTGCTTTGACCTGGCGTTGTAAACAGTTCCTCCTAAGTTGAATCAACATCATCATACTTGCTCATCACCTTTCAATCAACCACCGTAATGTACATGGGAGCATGTCCTGGCTAAGGTAACACGCCTACCCCGGGGACAACCTATCATCGCAACGGCGTTTGACAGGCAATGGATTGTCACATACAAGGGCTATTATGCCTTGACAGGACAGTGTATAGCGGAAGGATATCCATATCTAGTCAACAGATACCCAGGAGATGTACTGGAGTGTGGAATGTCCGCCGATAACAACTACAGACGCGATTGAATTTCGGGATTCGCCAGTGCAGGTCACACTAAGTTTTATATCGTTGTGTCGGTCTCCCGACAGCGAGGAGCTCGCCCATCGCCGGCAGTTCAATTTGACCGGTAGGAGCAACGCGTCGTGGACTCTGAGTGGTTTCTTATAGAGTACTCGGTTCCATGGCTAACCACAAGCGTTGTCTCAGGAGCACCTTAAGGAGGGAGTATGAGAAGGTTCTTGCTGCCATACATACTGATGCTCCAACTGTATTGCACGTGGCAGGGGCAATTAGTGTGCTCGATCAGAAAGGCGTTCGCTAATGTTTCAACATCCTCCATATGGCTCACTGCAGCCAATTATCCCGCCCCAGCCATTCCACGAAGCCACAATGGATTTCATGTAATCATTTATCCATTCCTCTCGAGAATCTAAGGATGGTAGAAGAGTTTATCTCAGCACCAGATCCAAAAGCCTTGGTCTGTTGCATTTCCGCGAGCTCATAATACATCCGTCTGCCAGTCACCAAAAACCAACAATGGAGATCAGTACTGGCAAACTTCAGCCTCTCGCATACTACTATAACACATACGAGGTTCATGTCGAACTTTTGGAAAGGCTTGCTTCGACAGCTCGGTACTAACCATTTTTATTCTACCGCAGCATATCCCCAGACCGATGAAAAGCTGGAGCGAACTATCCAAACCATCAAAACAATGATGCATCATAGAAGGACATATCAAATGTCATGGAAGTCTATGATACCGTCGAAATGTCAATCGAGCTCCGACATATGAAGGTGTCGCAGAGCTTGTCAGGGGGGCTGTAGATCTCACAGTATGGTGAGGTCGACCTGGCGAGCCATGGCTGTCACAACAATCGACCGACCGACTTTACAAGTGTACTTGGAAGCTGAAGATGTCGTGTCAAGATTTCTGAAGAATAATTATCCCAAAAGGCCAAGAATGGACACAACTGTGTCGAAGACACGCTTGCGACTAGAGAAGTGTTGCTTTGATGTCCACGGCCGCATTCGAGACGCATGACTACAGAGGATGTAATGCACGATTCACAAACGGAGAGGGAAATGCTAGGGCAAACTAGGGGCTCGGAGTAAAGAGATGATAGCTTTCGGTGTGAGGATGAAGAGCTTCGGCGCTCATCATTGACATATACAGACAGGCATGTCCGTCTCAGATAGTGTGCCGCTCCGTACATGTCTGCACAAGGACTCCATAGGCTTGTCAGCACAGTGTTCCACGACAGCAAACTCTAAGACGCTCCGAATGTCAGAAATGTCCACTAGGCGTGAATAGCCGATGCACCTACAATACCAACCGGTTGGGTAAAGCAAGTAACACGCTCTTCATCGATACCGAGAGTGGTCAGGCCCAGTGAAGACACCGGTCCTTTGGCAACAATCTGCATATCCTCTACGTCTTTACTCTGCTTGTGGATCTACACCGTACTGAAGGAGTAACCCCTAGTGATATCGTGATTCTGACATCCTATGATTTGTAATACCGGAAGTACCTGGTGGCCGGATCTTCGATTCAACAAGATTACTGTGCGTGAGATCAATACCTTTCAGGGCAGAGCTGCTGGATTGGCAAGATTATGTGGCTGAATCTAACCTGTCTTCTGCATTATATCAATGCCTTCTGGTTAGTAGCCAAGATGCCACTGTATTTATTGACTAGGCTATTATAGGACTGGAAGTCAAACTGCGTGTGTTCTCTTGCTCATTTCTTGAGCTTCGCTTTCTCGTTCTGGACCTCGGACCTGAGTCTAGTGCCGACGCGGA